GGCTGATGCCATGGCACTCTAGCCCGGGAAACAGAGCAAGACTCTGTCTCAAAAAAAAAAAAAGGTTTGGTATGTTTCCTTTTTCCTCTGTTTTTATATATATATATGCTCATGTAGAAGTGTTTTGTTTCTATTAAACATAAATGGGACCTTGGCAACGACCCCGAAACATAACTAACCAAGCCAGAAATTTTCCCACAAGGCTGGCACTGAAGTCACTGGGTGGTCTTGGATGTAAGTAATCAAATACACTGGCCATTTGCAGTCATTCCTGGGAAATATCTCCCCATCTGAATCTACAGCAAAAAAGGAACATGATTCCCTAAGTAAGAACTCCACAAACTGAATAAGCATTGGAAACCAAATCTCTAAAGGCAAAGCAACTGAGGCAGAATCCAGAAGCAATTATTTTTGGTTCAGGAAAGATAACTCTTGAGACTCTGCCACCAGTAGTTAGTGAGAAGTCAAACCCAAGAGACTCTGGGCAGATGAATTACAGCTGTGGGCAACAGCAGTGGAGCACCCATCATCTAACACACAGTCGTGACCAGGAGCCTGGCCAAGGTGGCCCTGCCCCTGGCAACCGTATGACCCTGGGCAGGTTCCTGAACCTCTCAGTGCCTCAGGATTCACATCTATAAAACAAGGAGAAGAAGAGAACCTAGGTTATAGGGTAGTTGAGAGGATTAAATCAGTTATATGAGTCAAATGCTGAGCATGGTGCCAGGCACATAGTAAGGGTCCAATAAACATGAACTATTATTCTTCCTGCTCATCCAGTAACACAGGCAGAGAACTGGTGGTGTGTGAGGCACATGATCACAAACACCCATTACCTTTACCCCTGGCGCCTGGCTCACAGTGGGCATCAATGGTTTTCCACGGAATGATTAAATGACAAAGTGGTTGATAGGCTTTTGTTCAAGGAAACACTAGAATGGTAATCAGAAGTAAGGCTTAGATGTCAAGAGGACCTGCCCAGTAAACTCTTTAATTCAACATTCTATTGAGATCATTGTATTACAGACATCCGCTGTGTGTTCGTAATAATCAGTCTGAGGCACTGTATAAACCCTTTTGTGTCTTAGGAAATATCAATGATTAAATTATATTCAACGATGTTTTAAGATTAAGCATACTGTACATTACTGTATTTAAACGCTTTAAACATTGGAAGTTTCAGGTAGAGAATAAATGGCAACAATGAATGAACTGGAGTACTCTCCTCGATAGCGACGATTTGTTCACACCTCTGTACCCACACAGTATTGTTACCCATTCACGTCTCCATTTCCCACTAGACTGTAAATGCTTCTTATGCCTCATGCTCTTATATCCCCAGTGCCTCATATATATTCATGCTCAGTCTATACTTTCCAAATAAACAAACAGCCACTGTGTGTTTCATGACTGCACCAGATTATAGTTTTTTTTTCATTCCTTTTTTCAGATTATAGTTTTTAGTCCAGCAACATATTCTTCTGGTGAACTTACACTTCCACAACACAACAAAAAACCCTATATCCTCTTGTGACTGTTTAAATACAGATTTCAACATTTTAAAATATGGTACACTTTAAGAAAATCATTCTTGCAAGCCCTAAAATTTTAGACTAAATGACTTAACAGAATCCAGTTTAAACTGGAAGCTACTGGATCTGAAAAGTCCTTTGAAACTTACACAGTTTCTAACAATCAGATAAAAGCCACTGCTTTTCTTATAATGAACTATTAAAGGCTTGTACTGCTGGTGTGTCTGTCAGATGTTTCATCATATTACCGTGCTACGGATGCTGGTACCTGCTCCAAGGAAAGGAGGAAAGAAGAAAAAAGGATGGGAAGTATTAGGAAAAGTGAGGTTAAAAAAAAATGACTTCTGATCCTTCCTCTTACACATTATGAAAATACTAGGCTCAGAAATCTGCTCTGAACTCATGTCAGAAAGAAAACAGAATCAAAAGTAGAGCCAGCTTGTCATCTCCTGGACTCTCACATGAATGATAGAGAAAATGGTCACAGGACTGAGAAGAAAAGTGGGTCTGTGCAGGTGACATCTGAGCACAAGGCTGCTCCCCTTTCAGTGCTCTCCCCACCCCCACATTCCACTGGGAGCCTTAACTCCTAGGAAGTCTAAGTCATAGAGCCTACTCCACGGTCATGCTCTCTGCTGAGGTAACTGCAGTATAACAGGAGTTTCAAACTTTAGTGAAAGGATCTTGGCTTTAAAGGTGGAAGTTTAGTCTTCATCCTAAGGATAGCGGGGTTTGGGTGTCTGGATTCAAGTAGCAATGCCAAAGACAAACTCTAACTCCTTCGCAATTTTGCCTGTGGTCAGCTCCATTTTCTCGGCTTGGAGGTGGGATAGGGTGGGGAGGAGGGAATTGTGGGAAAGCATACTCTGATTCCGCCCCAGGGGTAGAATTCCCCTAAAGAGGGGCCAGCATTCATGATGTATGTATGCTGGGCAGGAAATGGTTCCATAAAATGGCATTACCTACCTTTCAGCATTGTTTCTGAGGATTAAATGAGATAATATTTTAGAGCATAACACACTACTAGGCACATAGGGCCTGATAAGTGTTTACTATTATTTCATGGGTATGTGGCAATGATGATGAAAATAAAGTTTCCAAAGAAATTTGTTCACAGACCATTAGGAACAACTGCAAGTCTGCTGAAATCCAGAGCTGCTCATGATACAATAGAGCACAATCTGTTCTCTTTTTAAACTGTATTGCTTTAGAAGTTACTGTGGCAACATGTAATTTCAAATCTTTGCAATGCCCTGCAACTATAATCTTATTATATTTTGTCAGTTAAAACATCCTAGACTGGGTTGAGTTTAACAATCTCATTTATTAAATTGGCCTTCCTGTCCTCTTATGATGTGACATCCTACCAGAGATGTGCATCTCCCTTATCAGCTTTCCCCTCTCTCAAATTCACAGCTTACAAAGGCTTAGGATTCCTATTTCTTGATCTTTGGCTGTCAAAAGCATGTTTGTCAGAGCATGAGGTAGTCCTCAAATAAAATAAAGGTACCTGGGTGGAAAGGAGAGTCTCCACCGTGGCCAACAGCTATATTTTAATATTAAATAAAGCAATTTCAAAAAATGAGTCAGGAACAGCACTGGTCTAATACCTAGATTAACCACCCTACTGAAGAGATAACAAATGTTTAAGAGACCCAAGCAGATGCACAGGTGTGATGAGGTAAAAGGCAACTAAAAGAAACCAAAGAAGTCAGGTTTATAAAAACACCAAAGCACAGTTTCAAATAAGACACGGCTCTGCCCTGGAAACTCCTACTGGCACGGCCACCACGTTCAGTCTGGCAGGGACTGTTACCACAAAAACAAAAGACATGGGTAGAGAAGACACAAGTCTGTTTCAGGACAGTACCATGTTTCAAAAAAGACAAGGTTTGTGGGGAGATACACGCCATGAGCCAAGCACGTGGCAGGTATCCCGAGTTCTCTGTTCTGTATGGATTTATCAGACCATTATTCCCTGGGCTTCCTTACACTGAGCATCTAGCTGTCAGGAACTGGAAGGTAATATGTAAACCACGTTTGGTTCCTGTCTCAGAACAGGTAGGATAAGACAACCTGAGGTGGGGCGGGGAATGAGAACACCCTCCTTAATCAGAATTTTATTTTACAGTGTGAATGCAAGAATAAAAAATCTTCTTAGTGCTGTGGCACTCAGAATTATTTTCTTCAAGCAAACAATGTAAAAATGATTTCTCTCAATGGCTAGATATTTACTTGCTTTAATTACATAACATTTTCTTGAATTTTTGGCTTTTGCTACTTATTGGTGGCAAGCATCCAGAAGCAGCTGACAAAATGAACAAGTATAAAATCAACTTTTCAATGTGCTTAGTTTGCTAAAGCTTTTTTTGTTTCAGTGGTCTTGTTTGTTGGTATCGTTTTGGAATTGCCTAATATATAACATGCTGTGTTAGAAAAAAATTTGACCGTGTACATGCATTGCTTTTATTTAAAAATGAATTAAAGAGAAAGATAAAAGAAACATTTTCATGCCCCAGGAATTGACATGAACTTTTTCTGTTTCAGCTGTGCCCCCGCAGCTCTCCTTTGGTTTATTGGTATCATTTGCCTTATGATGCTCAGTATGTGTCTGCTGAGTGGGCGTGAGATTCCGGGGCAAGCCAGTCTTTGAGGAGCTTATAATCGGACTGGGGGAGACATAACTTGAAATTTTGGAAAGGTATTTAGTTTCTAATTATTTTAAAAGCAAACAGAAACATGAGTTGACCATGCCTTTTTCCATTTCTCATATCGATATCACTACGGTAAAATAAGCTAATGATGAAAACTGCCATCCCACTGCAAATTTAAATGCTTCTCTTTTATTAATGTGTGTATGAAAATGAAACATGATCACCTGTTTAAAACAAAGACAGCTTTGTTCTTTGACAACTACAGAATAAGGAACTTTGCCTTTTTATTCCTTTTAAGAGTTTCTGTAGTTGACCATTTTTATCTTGCTAGACTATTCTCCTTGGATCTGTATTAAACCTTAGCTCCTCAGAGATACAGCAAGGATAGAGAGTCCTCATTTAAAAAATATTTCCTAATTTTACATGTTAAAAGCTAATATTTAAGAAAAGCCCTCTTAATCCCCCAACCCCAATTCCCAGTGAATAATCTGGTTTAATACAAGTTAAGTCTATAAACGAATTGGTTCTTTCTCCTCAAAAAACACTAAACTTTACAAGAATTAGAGGCTTAAAAAATTTACCAAGAGAAATGGAAATATTATTTTACCCCTGTTAACATATGGTGTTCAAGCATTCCAGCAGCAAGCCCTTTGCTCAGCATTCATTGTTCTGCTAGCATGCCGGCTAGGGGTCTTCTTAGTCACTCTTTTCTTCTCCTTGATAGTGTCTGTACTCTGGCTTCAGCTCCCATGTGTTTTTGTGGATCCCTTTTACATTCTGAACACCAATTTCTTTTAAGATTTCCTTCAGGTACCCCTAAAAAAAACAAAACAAAAGCCCCTAGTGGATTAGATTATAAAGGTAGGAAACAAGATTCAAACAAGCCCCATCTTGGGTCTACTAAATCAAAATGTGTCAGGCTAGGCCCAGGAATTTTAACAAGTCTTTAGGTAACTCATTTAACTACACTAAAGTTCCACCAAATCTGCTTTGAGGTTCTTCCAGCTCTGACATTCTAGAATCTCTGAGACCCTGGTGTGCGGCTTAGTTCTCCGAGACTCATGATTGCAGATTATGTGTTACCAACATAATCTAACACCACATTACACTGACTGATACGCTTTGTTCATAATGTCCTTTCAGTTAGGGGTAGGTTGTCACCTAGAAACATAACAGCTGATTACCACCTACACATGGGTTCCTTATAAGGCCCCGGATAGCTTAGCTCTCTCTCAGGGCAGCCTTCCCATTCTAGCAGGCAGGCCCCAGCAGGTGGCAGCAATGAACCAAATGAACCCTGGGTTCCCCCAGGAGGCTTGTCAGCTTCCCACACCTTCTGCAGTTGGCTTCACTGGCAGACCTGTGTGAATGAGTAAGCATAAAGGCTTGAGACATCTAGGTAATATGCACGTCTGCCATCTGCTACTTCAAATTACGTTAAAAAAATGGAACACTGTTCATAAACTACTTTCTAATTGAACAAGATTCATAAATGGGAAATGATGGGTTAGGCACAAATGATTCTCAGTGTAGGTGCCAAGAATGACATCTTTGTAAAATTCCAAAGAATGGTTTATTATGAGACTGGCTAAGATGCTGTTGCACAAACAATCACACAATTGTGCATGCACTGCAATGGGTCAAAAATGAAAAGAGCAATTGCCAGGAGCATTTTGGTGGCCCGACAGAAAATAAGCTCTTTTATCTTCAAGTCTAGTGTGTCCATTTATAATCTAGGCACAGAAAACGAAAATCATAAAAAGGGTTAAACTCAAAATATTAAGAAAGTCTGCAGTATACAAATTCAGTTGCTTTCATGTGTAGTCTACCTTCATTTTGGTAATCTAGTATGTTATGTAGAATATTTTTTATACACCAAGGTATCACTCTTTGTTCCTTGCAACAATAAAAATGGAATGAGATAATCATAGTCTGTCAATTTGTCAAATAACAAAATGAGATTAGGGTCACAATATCTAGCCATGGCACAGATTTCTTTTTTGGGGGTGGTGGTGGGGAAACTTCCTAAAGGATGTTCCAAACTGCAAGCTAGGACCACTTTACCCAAACAAATTAGCTTGGCAGGGGAGTAGGCACAAAGCACTAGCAGAGAACGTAGTAGTGATGATAGGGAAAAAACAGGTCAGCAAGTCCTTAAAGGGCAGAAGACATGGATAGAGACGGTGAGAATCATGCCATTGCTCTGTCTAAAATGTTTCAGTGACTTCCCCTTTGGCCTACAGGTTGAAGTCCAAACTCTTTCACAGGCGTCCGCTTGGGCCTGCCTTCTTCTTTTGGCCTCATCTTCCAGTACTCCCTCTTACACATACTTGTCACTTCTGTATCTGCGTACTTCTGGGTTTTTCCCATTTGCTGTTTTCTTTCCCTGTAATATTTATCCCCTTTCCTCAAATCTGAATCCCTCATCCTTTAAGAGCAGGCTCAATATCACTTTCTCAGAGAAACTTTTCCTAACAACCTTACCCCTTAGATTTACATTTCGCACTGCACATACTTCAGTGATAGCCCTTATTATACTATATTATAATCCTTTATTTACATACCTCACTCTCCTCTTAAACCACGTGTTCCTATTCTAGTGCCTGCTTGCACATCACAGAGACCTGGTGTACTGATGCGGAGCGAATAGGGTGTGCTTAAGAGTGACAGGCAGCTAAGAGGATTGTGGGGTAAGAGGTAGATCACTAAGAAGGCCCATAAAAATAGACTATTTGAACTCTACTTCATTTTTAGAACTCAAGCAGTGACCCAGTTTGAGAAACAAAAGTTTACTGACTAAACTGTACTACCTGAATTTGAATGACATTTATTACTGAAATCTGTATTATAGTGCTAAAATATTATTGCAGACAATGCCAATTGAGGAGGAGATTTTAAAGGTTCTACCAGAATTGAAAATTACTTGGTAACCTAATTTTCCTTTATTTATGTATTCACTCAAATATTTATTCCAGCAGCTACAATATGCCAGGTAGAACGGTAAACACCCATCTTCTTCACAGAATTCACAGTTTAAGATTGGGATGGGGGTGGGGCAGAAACAAAGGCATATAAGAAGGCAATTATATAGTAATAAAGGTATATGTACAGGGTATTATAAGAGCACTGAGAAGGGGTACCTAACTCAGCCTGCATAAAGATGTTAGGTTCTTTGAGGATAGATATTTGATCATTTGAACAGCAATTATGTGCAGAGATCATGAAAAACAAGTTCTCCTCCTTTCACTTATTCTAAACATTGTGATTTTCCAATTTAATCCTTTGTCTAACCACCTGTATTTTAAACAAGATTCTAGAACTGAGTAGATTGCCTTTATGTCACACAGGATTGGGGATATTTCTCATTATAGACTATGTGCCATGCTGCAGCACAAGATCTGAATAAACTGGCTCAGGTCCAGCAATTCTTCATCAAAGAGATGTGTGGGAGAGAATTTACAGCAAGTCTTAATGCAGAGGAAAAAAGGGATAGAACATCACAGCTTTTGGAAGGAAATGGCACAGTACACACTTGACCAAAGAGGTCAAGTGGTTAGGATGTTGTTAGCATTTACGGGTCAAGATAAAATTGTGGTGGCCAAAAAGCCAGAAACCTATGGATCAACTTCCTATTTTTTTCCCAAGACTGAGACAAACCTATGTAGAGTTACAAGGCACAGGAGCCTGCTATTTTAGTGTTTTTCTGTTTCCTTCCCTCCCTCCACCCCCCACCATTTCTCATACCATCTTTTTCTCTACTGCTCTGTCAACCAAATGGAGGACTTATATCTGCATTTCATTTTATCAGGCATTTCAGTGATAAGCATTACATACGTAATAATAAATCAATTACATCTAAATTCTTAGAAGTTGTTTAAAAACATACACCTTTGACAGGGCGCTGATCACCAACTACTGATATGCTAATAATTTGACCCTACTAGGCTTCTAGTCACAAATCTTCCCAAAAAAGTTTAGATGGAATATGCAAATCTACACAAAAGATGGCATTGATTAATGCAGTCACCAAGGACAAATGCACTAAATGCTTTTTATGAAGTGATCCAATGACAAGAAGGGCATCTTTCAGTTCTGTAATACTTTCAAATTTATCATTTCATCTTCATGTGATTTTTGTGTGAATGACTGCGACTCCTTTAAGAGACATCAACAGAACAAAAGCGCTTACTGATGAAGATGTTAGTGACTCCAAGGCACAAAATTCTTCCATTAAAAAATAAACTACACATTAGGAAGAAAATGTGAACAAAGGCAACAGATGTTTTTGCTCCTTTGGACAGAGAAAACTGTGAACAGGAGAGGGAAGGTGAGGCTGGTGACTTCTCCGGAACAGGGACTGGGACCATCTCTGCATTTTTCTCCTCTTTTCCTTCTGCTTTCACTTCCCCTTCCCCACTAGACCCCACCCCGTCTTCCTCCCAGGGTCCCACTGGCTGAATTCCTCCCTTTGAAAACTCCCTTTGAGAAGAAGCAGTCAAATGGGTAATGAAATAGTCAAAGCACAAGCCCTACCCCAACCCCCAAGCCCTACTCTATTACCTAATCCAAATCTTGAAAAAGTGATTATTGCATTAATATTTTTGTGCTAGTAAATTACCTCACTTTAGTAACACCTCTTCTATCTGGCACTGACAAATGCTTCACATGTTTGAATATTCCAGATAAACAAAACAAAGCTTACTTCCTATGGACCAAAACGTTTATTTTTAACTTTGTTTAAAAAGACATGTTTCTAAACTGTATTAGTTTATTTGTATTCTGAACATAACAATCTTGGAATATTAAAAGGTATTTATTCCAAGGCTGGGATACAATGGCTTCCAATTGGGAACAACAACAACAACAAATATTACACACACACACACACACACACACACACACACACACATATATATTTTAATTTAGACTCTATATAGTCTAATATATACTGACTATATACAGTTAATTTAGAAATTGTTAACTAGGAAAATATAATCGGAGATATTCAAAACAATAAAGATGAAAACAATAAAATTCCTTTTGAAATATAAAGCAAAAGAATTCTTGCATTTAGAAACATGGCAACTACCATTAGTACATTTGGTATGAGGTACAGTTTTGAATGTACAAAGAACAAGAAAATATCGATTGGTAGTTATTATTAGTCTACTTGAAAATATTATTGAAAAATGGCAAGCAAGGAGACCCATAGGTGTATATTTTACTAAAAGAAATTTTGCAGTAAATTAGCTAATATTCCCAAGGAAGAAATATTACTTGCCTTTAAAATATTTAAAAACAGTAAAATTTTACTAAAGGGCAGTGGCAGATGAAAGTCCTCATTGTCAGAGCCAGGCGGGGTGTAGTCCCAGCTACTTGGGAGGCTGAGGTGGGGGGACTGCTTGAGCCCAGGAGTTTGAGTTCAGCCTAGGCAACGTAGAGAGACCCCCATCTCTTAAAAAAAAAAAAAAATTCACTGTCTAAGGACTAAAAAAAGAGTATGACAATCTGGCAGTTCCTCAGAAGGTTAAACAGAAATACCATGAGACCTAGCAATTCCACTCCCAAGAGAAATGGAAACATATGTTCACATAAAAACTTGTACATGAATGTTCATAGCAGCTTTATTCATAATAGCCCCAAAGTGGAAACAACCCAAATGTCCATCAATAGATGAATGGATAAACAAAATATGGTATATCCATCCAATGGTATATATTTGGGAATAAAAAAAGAAATGAAGTACAGTCATTCTTCCCTATCTGTGGGTTACACATGTATGGATTCAACCAATGGCATACTGAAAATATTCAGAA